CTTCTTTATGTCGATTTACAGCTTCTTCGACATCTATCTGCATCCTAGCGATTTGATTATTCAACTTTTCAATTTCTCGATTCTTTTCGCTTTTTACCTGTTCGATCTGATTTTCTAATTCATTAATTCTAGCTTTTTTAATACCGATTTCATCTCTAAGCTGCCTATTTTCTTGACGTAACCTATTGATAAAAAATAAAAATAAAAAAATATATAATAATAATAATAATAATTAATAAAAATATTTGTAATATGAAAACAATACCTTTCAATTTCTTCATTCTGTTTTTTTGTATTAGAATTATTATGAATTTTGTTATATATATAAATTATTATAAAAAAAATTATTATAGAACTTAACTTTATATTCTAGTAATATATAGTATATAGTTAAGATTAGCAATAAAATAATTGTGATTTCTAATATAAATTATTGTAAAAAATTCTGTTATAAAGCTTTTAGTAATACAAAGTATAGCTTATATTAGAATTATTATAATTTATATAATAAAAATTATTACAGAATTTACTATAATCAGATCTCTATAATTGCACTCTTATAAATACACTTACTATATAAATTTTCTCTAAATTAATACTATAGTATAGTTTCAAGTATATAAAAATATAATAAAAATTTTCTTTATAAATATACACTCTTTCTAAATAATTATTTTTAAAAAATTTATCCTATAATATCAAGAGGTAGAGTATGCAATTATAGAAGCTTAACTATGTTTTAGTATATAGTATATGATTAAGGTTTAGTTAGTTTTATATTAGAATTATTGTAATTTCTATATGTATTATGAGTTGCTTTAAAAAACTTTACTACAAAATGTGCTATTCTGATAATATGGGCTAGGTGCTGGGAAAAGAGCCCAAATTGATAATTTTTTAAAAGTAATTTTTTTGCATAAATTAATTTAGAATAAGATTAGGATTATTTTTTACTTAAAACATAAAAGTAGTTGTATTAATAAAATTTTGCAGTATAGCTCTTTAAAATTTGCAATTTCTTATAATTTATTATAAGATTTATAATACAAAAATTGATTTTCTGAAGATCTTTTGTTTTGTCAATTTGGGCCCTTTTCTCAGCACCTAGCCCATATATAGTTTGTATTAGAATTATTTTAATTTTATTATGAGATATAATACTATAAAAAACTTTGTTATATAAATATATTATTTTGGTAATACATATTATATAGTTAAGATTGTATTAGTTTGTATTAAAATTATTGTGATTTTTATTGTAAGTTACTGTAAAAGATTCTGTTACAGAACTTACTTACTATAGTTATAGTTAAGTTATTATAAATTATTATAAAAAATTACATTATTTACTATTTAGCAAATAAATATCAAAGAAAAAATAATAAGAAAAATAAATAATATGAACATATATATATAGTTTGTAAAAATAGATTTTAACAAATTGTATTATTTTTAAAAAATAGCTATTAGGTATATATATAATATTATAGTATTAGATAGAAATACTAATAAATTTTTTAAATTTAAGTTAAAAATAATTAATACTAAATGAAGATTATATTTAGTTAAATACAAAAGGAAGATAACAGTGCTATTAACAAATAATATAAACTAAAAAATTGTAGTATTGAAATATTCTGTCAATAATCTTTCAAGTTTTTAATAATCTTAACTAATAATTATTAATAATATGATAGCTAATAATTTGATTTATAGATTAAAGAATAATAATAGTTAGTTAATTGGTATAAATGTCAAATAATAAAAAGATCTACAAATTTAAAAAAAATAAAAAATTCTATTATATATATTTATAAAAAAAAAATTAATAAACTATTGCAAACAATTAGATTATATTAATATTTTACTATTTATAAAAAACTATTATAGTTTTATAATTTTTTTCAAGTTCACTTTAATAGTTTGTTTAGAATTTTTTTTTTTTTGAAGATATATTAAATATTAATAATTCAGAATAAAAATATAATATTATTAATATTATTTAAAAATTTTAAAAATTTTTAGTTCTTAATTAATTTATTATAGTAGTATTATATAATAACAATATATCAAATAAAAAAGTTATTTATTTTATTTCTAGATAATCTTTATTTTTTTTTGATTTTAAAATTTTAAACCAAAAATTATTTTAGCTAGCTAGCAAAGTAATAACATAAAACATAGCAGTTATATAACTAATTTAACAATAATACAATCTAATTTATTTCTGAATATTAATATTTGTATTAATAAAATAAAAACAATATATCAAAATTTTTGCATTAAAATTTTTTATTTAAAAAAAAGTAATTGATAATTTTTAATTGCTAATTTCTTACTACAGTCAGCTCTCTCTAAAT